CCTCTTTCCATGTGATCAAAATAGAATAGTCCCTTATTTATGTGGTATTCACAGGGTGCTATGGTTGTTCAAACTAACTAAGGATCTAATGAAGAAAGAGACAAGCACAATTATTATATAATATTCTTTTAATAGGGATTGTTATTATAAGATGAAACTTATATACTCATATAAATAGGTATATCATTAACTTTTACATTGGTTAGTACATTGACTAGCATAATCAAAAATAGTGGAGTGAATCAATTTACAACCTTTCCTGTTATAAAATAGTAGATGTTTGAGATATACTAAGCTAAACTGAGTATGACATAAGGACAGTTTCTTTGTGAGAACATACAAAATAAATTTAGCAATAATCAACCATGTTTTATTTCTAGAGAAACAATCTCTTAACATATTCAAGTTTCATGTTTCTTTTTAATGAAGCCTTCACATGATTAAAGTAATTGCCGAGAAGAGACAGTTGCTAAAAGCTGGTGAGACAAGAAATCAGCAGTAGTATTTCAGTCCAAGATAAAGAATCCATTAATTGTGTTACTCAAAGAAATTTAGCAAATTTAATTTTGTTGTTAAAGTGAAAAAAATTAGATTTTATAAAACCATAATCAAACATTTATTAATTAAAGATCTTATTAGAGACACAAAATTTAATTAATGCTATAAGAACAAGATATAATTGAAAAGAGACAAGAGGAAAACTTTGCAGTTGTTGGCAATATGAAAAGAAAAATACAAAATACTGTTGAATGAGCAAACCGGTCATTGCTCCTCACTTGTAAAAACTCAATCAAAGAAATTAAAATATTGTGCACACCAGCTAAAAAAGGAAACATGAGGGAAGAGAGTACATATGTATTGACAATATATCGACACAGGTTTATTTATAGATAGATCACACTAAGTCCTAACAGTCAATACCTTTGTTGGCATAAGGATAATTGTCTTGATTTAATATAGATTGTCTTGAGGACTTTTTGAAAAACAGATAGGTAATCTTTATGATTTGGTTTCAATATAGGCCAAGCAAACATGTGAATTAGCTGAAAAATGACACTGGCCACCTATCTTTCAAACAAGTGACATAAATTAACAATTTAAATGTTAATATGAAGTTGACTACATAGGTAGGATCACTCAACTCCTAGAGAAGAGAATTGCCCAACATGTACCAAAAAATGTGTTAGAAAAATCTGATTGGAAAATTTGCATAAGTTTTCCATCACATCTGGGTCTGCAATTTCAGAACATCTTATTAAAAATTGGGAATGTTTACCATCTTTTTGTAAGGATAGGTTCTCAGTTTTTAGTGGATCACATTCTTACAATCACCTGAAAGTCCTTGAAACAATTTATATTAAACCAAGACAATCATACTTATACAAACAAAAGGCTGTTAGGACTTAGTATAATCTGTCTATAGATATACCTGTGTCAATATATTATTGATACAAGTAGATTTTCTTCTTCATGTTTCTATTTTTGTAGTTGGTATACACAGTATTTTAATTTCCTTGACTGAATTCTGTTTTCTATCAGCCCCTTTGGAGGTTATTTAAAACCAAGAAACATTTTTAGATTGTAAGAATCTTTTTTGAGATAATATTGGTTTATTGATACAAGTTTTATTAATTAAACCATAACTGAGAGGGTATTTGTGCGTAATTGAATATAAAGAACCTAACTGGAATTTGAACACAGCTTTCCGATTAACAACTCCAATCTATTATCCATTAGACCATGTGAACATCCAAACTTAAACCACCTGGTATTCCCAAGCAGTCACCCAACTAGGTATTGATCAGGTTCAACATTGCTTCACTTTGGTGATCATACAAGAATTGATGTGTCAATGTGATGTGGCTATGTGTCTTCTGACAAGTGAGGAGTGATAACCAATAGTTCTCTAGTAGTTTTTGCTTTTTGTATTGCCAACTAATGTAGTTGTACATTTTCTCACCTTTTTTAATTATGTCTGCATTTATTGGACAAGATATATTAATACTTGATTTCATATCAATTAATATACACAGTGAATTTCAGTTAATTGGGACATCAGTTACAATAATTAGCTGCTTAGTTGAACCGTTTGTACAAGAACAGAATCAAATGTGTATTATTTTGTCCTTTTAATGCAAATCTATTTAAAAGGAACAAGGAGAAATCTGAGGTCCTGATGCATTTTGCTTAAGCAAAATGGAATCTCTAAAGAAATATTTTCACAATTAGAAAGTAATTGTTAAATCATTTCAGTAAAAAGAAATAAATGATATACAAATTCAGAAACAGGCCAAAAATCAAAAATATGCTTTTTATATATAATAATGTATGTTATTTTTATATTTAATAATACAAGGTCTTTGTACTCAATCAATATTAAATGAAAATGTAAAAAAAAATTTACTATAAAATTGTCACAACCTAAGATATATACATACATACATACATACATACATACACACACACACACACAGGGTGTCTTAAAAAAAATGTATAAACATTTTGAAGCTTTTTCAAAAAATAATTCAAGCAACTAGTATTTATTATAAATGCATGCTCTTAAGATTTCGTCATTGCATGTTTTCAAATTGATGTCCGTTATGATCCAGACAATGCGACACAATGGAATCAGAAGCAGCAGTCAACATTTCGACAGGTATTTTTGGCTGCATTCTTGCTTTATGGAAACTTTCATTTCAGTGATTGTTGCTGGCTTTGTAGCATAGACTTTATCTTTTAAGTATCCCCACAAGAAAGTCTAAAAAGTTGAGGTCCAGTGAACTTTGACTTCCGCTCCATCTACTCCATCTTGCTAAGCTAAGGCTGGATGACATTAGTAATACTAATGTCTCAATCTGAAAAAAGAGCAAAGACTGAAAAGAAAACAAACTCTACACTGTAAATGTGCGTGTATACATTTTTCAGACATGCCTGTATATAGCAAGACTCTCATATTATTTATCATGCACTGGATCCCCTCAGCAACTTTCTGTCTTTGGCAATTAGTCTAAGACCCTTCACATAAAATTCAAGATATAGACTATAGTCTTGTCCATTAATCTAGAATGATTCAACCAGAATATTAATTACTCTGTATGTGACTTTATTTGCTATACAAAAGGTTTATCCTACCACTGAAGGTGACTGATCCTTGAATTTGAATTTATTTGAATTTCATAGTTGTGTTGTCATATCCTCCTCTGACAACAGAAAATACCTTTGAGTGAAATTAACAATAAGGTTAATGCATTTGAAAGGCCTTGAAAAAGGATGCAGTGGAAAGGGAAGTAATATTAATAATGCAGAGTGTTAAAGGTTAAACACAACAAGAAAATGCCAAGCAAAGATATTACCAATAACAAATATGACCCATGAGAATAACTGATAAGATGAAACTATGTTTTCAGTGATTAAAACAAAAACAAAAAAAACAGGATAACTGTTACTCACTTTGAAACTAAGAAGTAAATCCATTTCAATGATAATGAAAACAGAAGCCATACTGAATGCATTCATCAGATTATACACAATCATTTACGCAATTAAATTGACACATTTTACAACAGGAATATTTCAGATATTTACCAATGATCGAAGAATCAAAGAAACAAGACATTAAACATGGAGACATCAAAGAGAATTTGAAATTTTTTAATTAATCATCACAAATCTGTGTATAAAAACCTTTTTTTCTTTAGTATTTTCTTATATTTAATCCCAACTGATTTATAGCAACTATCATGCACTTTAAAAAATAAATCAAATAATGTTTTTAATATCACTTTTGATTTCAATTTGTTTCCATTTCTTTACTTTCAAAAATATTCTTTTTTAATTTCTGTCTGATTTTCTGGAATGACAAGTTATAATTATTTACAGGTAGACTAACATCCTCATTGTTATTGCTATTATCATGTCAACTGTTGTGCTCTCTTTATCTCTCAGATGAGGTATTATGATTACTTGCATTATTTACATTATTTGGACTCTTATGCTCATCTTTATTGCCATATCGTGAATATGGCAATGAAGATGAGGATAAGAGTCCAAATAATGTAAATAACGCAAGTAACCTTCAGGGAATTTCGAACTGAACCCTTCCCTTTATTTAATTTATGGAGATATATTGTTCTTGTTATGTTTTCCATATCTAAGGATATCACATTTTTGTTTTTTTAAGTACTGCTAATCTTATTTCCACTAGAGATTGAACTCACATTTACTATGCCACCAAATTCATGACCATTGTTCTGAATCTAAAACAAGAAACCATCAACCTAATGTTTTTATTGCCTGCCTGCCTGCCTGCTGCTGCCACTGCTTTGCTTGTTATATAGATTGTAAATAATTTTTTGTTAACTTTGATATTTTTCACACACCAGAGCAAAAGTAGTCTTGTTTAATAATTTGTCACTGCAAAAGGAATTGATGTATCATGCTACTTATTTATAATTTGTTTCTGCTAATTAATAATTGAGTGGGACTAGATTTTCAAAACAAAAGAAATGTCTGTATTATCAAATCATCATAATATCACATTTGTTTGAATAGTTTGAGACAAAATTCTCTAGGACATAAATCATTGGAGTAAACATTGTTGCTGAGGGGCTGGAATGTAATTGTAGGTATTTATTTTACATATCAACAGATACAAAATATGACACAAACACTTTTTGATATTCAACAGTGCATAGAGATTTTATCAGAAAGTTGAAGTCGTTGGTCAAAGGAAGATTATTTTACAGAAAGTTTTTTTTTTCTTTTTGACTTACGAAATTTTTTAAAATAAAAAATAAAATTTTTAATTTAAGGAAAATATTTAAATAATAAAAAAAGCAAACCTTATTATTCATAAAAATAGGAGAAAAAATAAATATGTATTAGAAATTTCTTTTGAAAAGTAAAAGAAAAAACAAAAATATTTGCTGTTTAGTTTGGATTTTTAAAAAAAAACAAATTTCTGAAGAGAAAAACAGAAAGAGAAGAAAAAAATAAATAAATTATAAAAAGTGGTGTTGGGAGAATAAAGAAAGAAACACAAAACAGAAAGAGATGGTGGGAGAAGCATTTAAATTGTAGGAGTAAAAAAAAAAAAAAAAGAAGAAACAAGAGGGAGAAAGAGTGAGAGAGAACAGGGGAAATAGAGAAAATGGTAAAAAGAAGAGGCAGAGAGATGGAGAATAAAAAAAGAAGAAAGAAAAGACAAAAAAAGAAAGAGAGAGTGAAAAATAAAAAGAATTAAGGAGAGAGAGTGAGAGAGAGAGAGAGAGAAAAGAATGAACATATAACAAAAGAATCATAGAGAGACAAAGACATGAGAAAGAAATGAGAGAGAAAATTGGAAGTAAAAGAGGGAAAGAGTTAATGTAATAAGCGAAAGAGAGAAACAATGAGAAAGAAAGAAAGAACTGTGTGAAGAGAAAGAATGAGTTGAGTAAAGAGGGAGGGACACAGAAGAGAGAAAGAATAGAAGAAAAGGCAAAAGAGAGGATGACACAAGAGTGAGAAAGCAAGACAAAAGGAAAGTATGAATTGGGGAAAGAGCAAAAAAAAGAGAGATTCCTAGAAACGATAA